ATGCCAGAAAGAAGCCTTTATGCGCCAATACCACAAAAAGGCCCGATTACAATATGCCTGACAACACCTTGAGATGCCTCACACCTTCTGGCACACTGTAATTTGGAGTGATAATACCAAAATAGAGCTCTATGGTCACAACCATAAGCGCTATGTTTGGAGAGGGGTCAACAAGGCCTTTAGTGAAAACAATACCATCCCTACTGTGAAGCATGGTGGTGGCTCACAGATGTTTGGGGGGTGAACTCTAAAGGCATGGGGAATTTTGTGAAAATTGTTGGCAAGAAGAATGCAGCTTGTTATCAGAAAATACTGGAAGACAATTTGCATTCTTCGGCAGCATGACAATGACCCTAAGCACAAGGCCAAGTTGACCCTCCAGACAAAGGTGAAGGTTCTGGAGTGGCCATCACAGTCTCCTGACCTTAATATCATCAAGTCATTCTGGGGAGATCTCAAACGTGCAGTTCATGCAAAACGATCAAAGACTTTGCATGACCTGGAGGCATTTTGCCAAGACGAATGGGCAGCTATACCACCTGCAAGAATTAGAGGCCTCATAGACAACTCTTACAAAAGACTGCACACTGTCATTGATTCGAAAGGTGGCAATACACAGTATTGATAACTACGGGTAGGCAGACTTTTGAACAGGGGTCATTTCAATTTTTTCTTTGTTGCCATGTTTTTTTTATATGATTTTGCTATTCTGATATAACCTATAGTTGAATATGGATCCCATAAGAAATAAAAGAAATGTGTTTTGCCTGCTCACTCATGTTTTCTTTAAAAATGGTGCATATATTACCAACTCTCTAAGGGTATGAAACTTTTGAGCACGACTGTATCACAGGACACATTAAGAGGTCTTGGAAAGTCCTTGCATCAGTGCATGAGAGCTGTTTTTACAGCACTGGGGGACCTACATGACACTAAGCAGGCGATTTTAATGTTGTGGCTGATCAGTGTATATAAAAAAGGATCCAGTTAAGATCTGTCTTTGTTTCCTTTTGTTTGTTTGAAAACGAGGGTCTCATTTTGAATATAACACAGTTACCAAATTCTGCAATAATTCCTTTAGGAATTACAATTATATAAACATATACAGAAATTTATCAGTGCAGTATAACACATATACAATTATTTGAGCACTGTTTTTAAAACAGGACTGGGGCAGATTAAATCGTATCCTTAAACCCCCTTAATTCCCACTTTAAACAATGAAGTCATGAGAGTGGGCGGAAGGGATGACAAGTAAAAAGCTTTCAGGTGTGTTAAATCATTAAATCCTAGACGTGCATACTTCATAATAATGGATATGTTTTAACCCCCTCGAAAATATAAAAAAAAGACTTCCAAGCTCCCTTAATGAAAGCATACGATGTGATACTGAGAGTGATTTTTTTTTATTATATGAATCATTGATTAGATAGGTTGATGCTGAATATTTCATATGATGAATCTTAAATCTGGGAAATTGAATATTATTTTCTTGCTGACTCTTTGAAATAGCTACGTAGTAAAAGTTATATGAGCCAAATTTTGAACTTTTATGATGTGACAATAAAATGTCAATTGGTAAAACAGTTATTTTCTATGTAATACCATATAATGTAATATTACAATCACTTTAGTGTTACTGCCTGTATATGTATGTGTGCATGATTTTGCATGTCTTTTAATGCACTTATAATATATGACATAAATAAAATCCACATGTCAATGAATGTCCACCAAAATAAATCGGAGAGGTTCCAGCAGCCTGGTATTAGTGCAATTAGAATACCCTCCATTTCCTAAAACACAGAGTCGAGGTATGGGGGGATCCAACCACCTGAGCCTAGCGATGCCTAAAATACTCCTTTTTTTCCATTCCTCAAGAATAAAGTGATGAGTGTTATCTTATAAACTACAAGTTGATGAATATATGGTCATTGGATGGCTGACTTTTATTGACAGACTCAATGCATTCACTGTGAAATCGTCGACACCAAGAAACATTATATAGCTATGTGACTGGCTGGGGGGTGGGGTGGGGGGTGAATTTCCTTCATTAAAGATATACTGGTCTTTTCATTCAAAACCACTGGTTGAATAAAGAAGGATGTTCAAGACACGAACTTTTGGTAAGTTGTCAAACCATTTGTAAACAATGTGGCTACTTACCCTGGGAGATTAGCAGTCGCCCACTGTAGACGACTGGCTGATATAAGTGTCTGTGCTAATTGTATAAATGTGTTGACACGTGATGATATTTTCTACATGGAGTGACACCATTCTCTATATTTATCTCATTAGTGATTAATTATGTTTCACTCATGTTTTTTCGCAGATTTAGTGCTATTCTGAATGCTGAGATAGATGGGTTTTGTGATAATGATTTACAGCTATTAGCACTGATAGAAATGTATGCACATTGTTGGCAATACTTCCTATTTCTTCATATTTGTATGTTACTAGATACTAGTACCAGATTACTAGTGGTATATGGCCTACGTGTTCTAGATGTGCATATTCTATTTTCATGATACAGTTTATATTTTTTTAGTAATAGTTCTTGATTTGAATGGAGTGTTTATGTGTTCATTCCATTCCGTTCATCACTTGTCTGGAGTTCACCATTGGCAGGTGGATTACTACTGATAAAATGGAAGGGACAGAGTGGGGATGACATAGTGGGACCAGGGCCGGTGCAAGGATTTTTGCTGCCCATGTAAACAAAAATTTGCCACCCCTCATATATGCTTTGCCCACTATGTGACATCACAATGCCCCACCCATATGATCTGCCCACCATGTGACATCACAATGCCCCACCCATATGATCTGCCATATGGGCCAACGCCAGTGCTGCACACAGTGTCTTTTCACTGAAAAGGCAGTTTGTTTACATTAAAAAGCCTGTAGGGATAGGATATCGACACCAGAACCAATACATTAAGCTCTGGTGGTTCTGGTGACTATAGTAGCCCTTTAATGTGAGGTAAATTAGAGATTAGTGCCACTAATAATATACTGTGTTGCCTACTTACAACCAAATGAGAACAAGAGGATGATGATGGGCTCAGGCTGCAGGCTGGCTCCACTGGTCTGGTGTAGAACAGGCTCTCTGGCTCTCTTGTAACAGTGCTCACAAAAATCAATGAACATAAAGCAGCTCCATTTTTTTGGGGCCCCTTACACAGCTCGAGGTCTGGGCCCCCAGGGCCTGACCATGACTATGCCTACATGGCCCACACATTATTTTGCTCACAGGGCGTGGAGTTTATGTGTGTAGGGGATATGTTATGTGTTATTGTAGAGGATGTAATATGTGTGTGTTCTTATGGAATGTAGTGTATAGGAATACCAGTTTGTGTACGGGATGTGGTGTGTGTGTACACGCGATGCAGTGTGTTTGTATGTAAGGGATAGAAAGCAGTGTGTGTTTGTGTGTAAGGGATGCATTGTGAATTTGTGTTTGTATGTTTAAGGGATACAAGTTTTGTTTCTGTATTAGTAAGGGTGTCTCTAAGGGGTGCATTGGTGCATTAAGTGTGTGTAAGATGCATTGTGTTTCTGTGTGTGTGTGTGTGCATGTGAAAGAGAAGTGTGTGTTTATTTTTGTGCATAAGGGATGCATTGTGTGTTTTTGTATGAAAGGGATTGTGTGTGCAAGGGCTGCATTGTGTGTGTGTGTGTGTGTGTGATGCATTGTGTGTGTGTGTGTAAGGGATGCATCGTGTGAGTCTGTGTGTGTAGGATTTACTGTATATTTTGTGTGAGTGTGTAGGGATGCATTGTGTGTTTGTGTAAGGATGCATTGTGTATGTGTGTAGTGTGAAAGAGAGGGTTTGTGAGGTTAGGATAGGGGCTGAGACGAGAACAACTCTTTATTTTTATCATTATATTTATATTGTTAATATAATTTATTTTGTATATTTTTCTCTTCTCTTTCAACCCTTCCTCAGCCTCTCTGTGTGTCTTACACTCTTCCAGTCCTTTAATGATCTCTTTCACTCCTTCCCCCGTCCCTTAGTGGTCAAATCTCCTCACCCTGTCCCTTAGTGGTCTCCTCTTCTCCCCCTGTCCCTTAGTGGTCTCCCATACTGCCCCTGATAACTCTCACCTTTCCTCCTGTCCCTTAGTGCTCACCCCTCCTGTCCCTTCGTACTCTCCCATCTCTTCCTGTCCCTTAGTGCTTTTCTGTCCCCTCCTGTCCCTTAGTGCTCTCCCTTCCTGTCCCTTCGTACTCTCCCATCCCTTCCTGTCCTTCAGTGCTCTTCAGTCCCCTCCTGTCCCTTAGTGCTCTCCCCTACTGTCTCTTAGTGCTCTCCCATCCCCTCCAGTCCCTTAGTGATCTCCTCTCCTGTCTCTTAGTGCTCTCCCATCCCCTCCTGTCCCTTAGTGCTCTCCCAACCCCTCTTGTACCTTAGTGATCTCCCCTCCTGTCTCTTAGAGCTCTCCCAACCCTTAGCGAACTCCCCTGCCCCCTGTCCCTTAGTGCCCCCTTCAAAGCTGCTATAGGAAGCGCCGGCCCTGAGTGGGAAAAAGAACTAACAATAGAAGCAGGGAAAGCTGACATGAAGAGGAGCTGACATAAAACAGAGGAGAAATTAAAGGAAAAGGAAGGAGATTGGTGCCTCGGGAGGACGTGAACAAGATAAAATGGAGTAGAGTATGAACTGAAAAAATATGGAGGCAAGAGAATTGAGTATTTTCAAACAAGTGCACAGATAATGCAAAGAACAGAAAAATATAGACCTGAGATATTGTATACAGATCTACAATGTATTATTTACTATTATGCAATAGTACTGTATCCCGGCGGCAGGGCTGGATTGGGGGCGGCAATAAAGAGATGGGGAGAAAGAGAGGGAAGAATGAGACACAGGGGGAGACAGAGACAGAGAGGGAAGAATGAGACACGGGGAGAAAGAGGGGGAATAGAGAGATGGGGAGGGGGAGAAAGAGACAGAGAGGGAAGAATGAGACACAGGGGGAATAGAGAGATGGGGAGGGGGGAGACAGAGAGGGAAGAATGAGACACGGGGAGAAAGAGGGGGAATAGAGAGATGGGGAGGGGGAGAAAGAGACAGAGAGGGAAGAATGAGACACGGGGAGAAAGAGGGGGAATAGAGAGTTGGGGGAGGGGGGAGAAAGAGAGGGAAGAATGCCCCCCCTCCCCTGTCCGCAGGCACCGTGCGGGCAGGGGAGGAAGAGAGGACCTGGGAGCTCATCCTGCAGCTCCTCTGGGTCCTTCTTGTGCGAGCACAGAGCGTTGCCGCGGTTACCATGGCAACGTTACTGCTCTTGCGAGAGTCAACTCTAGCCCTGGAGCTACGGGCTAGAGTTCACTCTCAACACTGTAACCCCCATGGATTCCTGGTGGTCGCAGTGGTGAGAGTGAACTCTAGCCCCATAAACACACTGCCCCCACACACACACCATACACATTCACACACTGCCCCCATACACACCATACACATTTACACACATTGCCTCACACACACACATACACTGCCCACCCATATACACACAGACCCCCATACACAGCCCCCCATACTAACATTGCCACACACATACACTGCCCACACACCCTACACATTCACACACTACACTCCCACACACGCACTGAACCTTTCACACACATTGCACCACTGCTCCTATTCCATACTACAGCCTCATATCCCAGCAGACCCCAGGTAAGTTGTCAAACTGTTCTTAAACGGTTTGACTACTTACTCTGGAGCAGTAGTGGTTATTGTGCATGGATTATTTCTTTAAATAATCTACAAGTGCCCCAGTAGCCAGCCAGCCAACCCAAAGGCTGGTCAGTAGCCAGCCAGTTGGCCAGCCCACAGGCCAGTAGCCAGCCCACAGGCCTACAGCAAGCCACAGGCTTACAGCCAGCAAGCCACAGCCTGCCAGCCGCAGCCTGCCAGCCGCAGTCAGCAAGCCCACAGCCTGCCGGCAGTAGCCAGCAAGCCCACAGCCTGCCAGCCGCAGCCAGCAAGCCCACAGACTGCCAGCCAGCAACAGTAATTAAGGTAAGAGGAGCCAACTTGGCTTAGGTATCAGCGAGCTATGTTGTGTTGCTATATTGTGAATAGGAACCAGAGTGTTGGAGAGACCACCCTCCAGGCCCCATTAGACTCTAGCCTCTGCTAGAAATCCCCTCCATGGCCCATTAGCCCTCAATTGTAGTTTCTACTGGGGCCTGGAGGCGACTGTTTCCAGCAGGGGATATCTAATGGACGCTGAGATGGCCTCTGTTAGAAAGACCCCCTTCCAAGCCTTTTAGACTCCATTGTAGTCTCTAATGGGGCTTGGAGGGGATTCTATCTAACACACTCTCTAAAGGACACTGAGATAGCCTCCGCTAGAAAGACCCCCCTCCATGGCCCATTAGCCCTCAATTGTAGTCTCTACTGGGGCCTCGAAGGGCTTATTGCCCTTTTGTTCCTTGTGTCTAAAGATTGTGTAGGGTGTGGCTGGAGGCGGTGCATGGAGGCGGGACAAGGGTGGCGCTTGCTGCAGAGTATGGGTGGGGCCTGTAAGGGGGCCCTTGATTTATTTTGCCCGGGGGCCCTGAGGGTTCTCAGTCCGCCCCTGCATAGAGACCATATCTTGAATAGGAGGTATATTACCTTTTAGTTGCCTAGTGGCCTAAACTCAGTCTCAGGCTCTAACAGTGAGGTTATTAAAAAGTTTCTGCATGTGAGTGGGCAGTCCATTTAAGGATTTGAGGAAGAGCCAAGGATTCAGAACAGAGTCCCTAAAAACCTCAACCAGAAAGTCTTCCACTTTCTCCCAATACACAACCTCTGAAAATGTCCACTACATGTGGAGTAAGGGCATATCTGTCTGCATTGCCCCCATCACAGGTCCATTCAGAAGATCTTAACAGAAGTAGTATACTATCTCCTTGTAATTGTACACATTTTTTCTCACAGTGTAGCACAAATCAGTACTTTGACAGCAGGTGTCCATATATCTTCTTATTGCCACACTCCTGGACTTCTTCCAAATAGTTCTCCAATTGGTATGTACATTCGATCTCTCCACACCACAGAATGAGGCAAGTGGAGCTGTACTGTAGGATGATAGGACCTTTGTGGCCAGTTCCTCAGTCATTTAGATCTTCAAGGGGTTAAATATATAGAGACTAAATTTCTAATCTCTGCCTTAGTAACAAAACCATGTACCTGCTTATAAATTATAATCCCAAATGGAGTAGGGGTGATGTGATTCAAGTCTGTAAAGTTCACAATAGCATCACTCTAGTCTATAAGATATGTTTTCAGTGACATATGAAATATTTACACATTACTGAACTGATCTGTTTTGAACAGTAAACACTGCGTGGAACTATATAAAAGTATGTGGCATTACCTGCTCACACCAACTGCAATAATATAATTTATCATTGAATCACTTTCTCATATAACACAATTAATTTAGTATAATATTAACGTATTACCCATGTTGACTGCTACTCTTAGCAGTGTTGCTCAAAATGCATTCAGAAATATTATCCCTTGATAAACAATAAGATGATTTTTCCAGCAGAGATGTCAAGATCACAAGTCTATAATTTGTGTTGTGTTTTATAGATGAAAACAAAATCTACTGCATAGATTGTATACAGGTGGTAACATGACAAGCATGGAAAGATTAAATAATGCGTAATTAGCAAATTACAACTGACATTACAATAAATGGGAAATACATAACGTGTTTGTATAGGTCTACTCAGCACTTTACAGGTTACATTACAGTAGAGGGAGGTACAGTACGGGCAGTAGGTATACCGTGCATGTATATTTCATTTATATAGCGCTAACAGGTGTACTCAGCACTTTACAGGTTACATTACAGTAGAGGGAGGTACAGTAAGTGCAGTAGGTATACAGTGTATGTATATTTTATTTATATAACGCTAACAGGTGTACTCAGCACTTTACATGTTACATTACAGTAGAGGGAGGTACAGTAAGTGCAGCAGGTATACAGTGTATGTATATTTTATTTATATAGCGCTAACAGGTGTACTCAGCACTTTACAGGTTACATTACAGTAGAGGGAGGTACAGTAATTACAGTAGGTATACAGTGTATGTATATTTTATTTATATAGCGCTAACAGGTGTACTCAGCGCTTTACAGGTTACATTACAGTAGAGGGAGGTACAGTAAGTGCAGTAGGTATGCAGTGTATGTATATTTTATTTATATAGCGCTAACAGGTGTACTCAGCACTTTACAGGTTACATTACAGTAGAGGGAGGTACAGTAAGTGCAGTAGGTATACAGTGTATGTGTATTATTTTTATATAGCACTAACAGGTGTACTCTGTACTTTACAGGTTACATTACAGTAGAGGGAGGTACAGTAAGTGCAGTAGGTAAATACAGTGTATGTATATTTTATTTATATAGCGCTAACAGGTGTACTCAGCAATTTACAGGTTACATTACAGTAGAGGGAGGTACAGTAAGTGCAGTAGGTATACAGTGTATGCATATTTTATTTATATAGCGCTAACAGGTGTACTCAGCACTTTACAGGTTACATTACAGTAGAGGGAGGTACAGTAAGTGCCGTAGGTATACAGTGTATGTATATTTTATTTATATAGTGCTAACAGGTGTACTCAGCACTTTACAGGTTACATTACAGTAGAGGGAGGTACAGTAAGTGCAGTAGGTATACAGTGTATGTATATTATATTTATATAGCGCTAACAGGTGTACTCAGCACTTTACAGGTTACATTACAGTAGAGGGAGGTACAGTAAGTGCAGTAGGTATACAGTGTATGTATATTTTATTTATATAGCGCTAACAGGTGTACTCAGCACTTTACAGGTTACATTACAGTAGAGGGAGGTACAGTAAGTGCAGTAGGTATACAGTGTATGTATATTTTATTTATATAGCACTAACAGGTGTACTCTGCACGTGACAGGTTACATTACAGTAGAGGGAGGTACAGTAAGTGCAGTAGGTATACAGTGTATGTATATTTTATTTATATAGCGCTAACAGGTGTACTCAGCAGTTTACAGGTTACATTACAGTAGAAGGAGGTACAGTACGGGCAGTAGGTATACAGTGTATGTATATTTAATTTATATAGCGCTAACAGGTGTACTCAGCACTTTACAGGTTACATTACAGTAGAGGGAGGTACAGTAAGTGCAGTAGGTATACAGTGTATGTATATTTTATTTATATAGCGCTAACAGGTGTACTCAGCACTTTACAGGTTACATTACAGTAGAGGGAGGTACAGTAAGTGCAGTAGGTATACAGTGTATGTATATTGTATTTATATAGCACTAACAGGTGTACTCAGTATTTTACAGGTTACATTACAGTAGAGGGAGGTACAGTAAGTGCAGTAGGTATACAGTGTATGTATATTTTATTTATATAATCCTAACATGTGTATCTGGGACTTTATAGGTAAAATTACTGTAGAGGGAGGTACATTAATTGGAATTTTTAATAATACTCTTTTTTTAAATGAGAAATCATCAGTTATTTGTTAACTTTTTGGGGGGTTTAATATTTTATTTATTTATTTATTTCTTAGTAATTACACATCTTAAATCATTAGCAATGTCATTTAAACTATGCATATTCATAACTTATGTTAAGATAAAATAAACATTTTCGACCAAGAAACAGTCAGTATTGAGGACTGAAATGTGAAAATAGACTTGATTACCGATGATCCCTAATTCTCGGGGACTTCAATATTCCCATAAACCAACATTTGACCTCAGCAGTCTCTAAACTACTTTCAATTACTTCCTCCCTCGGGCTATCACAGTGGCCTAATTCTCCCACCCATGTAGCTGGCAATACCCTCAACCTCATTTCCCTTATGAATGCACAGTATCTAATATCTGCAACACTCAATTTCCTTTTTTTTTGATCACCACCTCTTATTGTTTGCTTTCAAGTACCCCCTCACCCAACAACCTCAGCCTAAACCCCCTCAACTGAGTAGGAACCTTAATTCTATTGACCTCCAGCAATAGCCGATCCTGGGGTGCATGGGGTGCACAGTGCCCAGGTCTTTTGTTAGTAAAGGTGCTTTGCAGTGTTAGGCTTCACCCCTCTCACTAAGCCATGCCCTTTATTTTAAGCACTGCCTCCTTTCTGAAAGCCCTCAGAGTTCCTGGAAGACTGGCTGGGCTGGAAGGTGAGGACACACAGGGGAGGGGATGCTACCTTAGGGCACAGGAGGGGAAGGGGCTAAAGATGGCAAAGTAGTGGGGTTACATAAGGGCACAGGAGGGGAGGGAGCTAAGAGGGCACAGAAGGGGAGAAAAGCTAAAGAAGGCACAGGAGGAAAGGGGGGATAAATAAGGGAACAGGAGGAGAGGGGGGCTGAAGAGTG